GAAGGCCAACTTGTTATGCAAGCTGCTGTGGCTACAAGTGGGCCAAGAATTGCGCCATTCGATGCGAGTCGACAGATGCATTGCCTCCTCCTCCACTGATCGCACTGATCCGCCGCCGTTTGTGGAGATGTGAATATAACAACCACAGTTTTTGAATGAATGAAAATTCTCGTCTGGTCCACCTGTTAGCCCTCCTCCACGCCTCTAAGGCACGCATCACTGCAGTCCAACAAATGTTTTCATTTGCCTGCGGTTTGGTGAGTTTGTAGCGAATTCCAGACAAATTTGTTGCCCTCCTAAAGGTCAGACAATGCTGCATCATTTTATGTGAACGTGTGGGGCTGGGAAAATCGCTCCCACCAAGTGCCCAAAAGGAGAAAGCTGTCGACAACAGGCTGACAATAAAAGGCATTTTACTTTCCTCACTCTTTCAAATCCACCAATCTTTTGCACATTGACGAGGAAGATGGAAAATACAAAAGTGGTGCGAGGCATCTGACCATAGGGAGATGCTCAAATGAGTTGGCAGCAGAGCACCAACATCAGAGCTTGTAGAAGTCGCATTTGTGGAAGGGGAGGAGTGCTTGACTTCGTGCACTCCGTCATGTCAGGAGTGGCGGAGGAAATGCTACATGTTCCCACCCATTCACCTGGCAGGAGAAATAAGCACTCTTGATCGTGCATTTTTTTCTCACTCTGGTCGGTTGATCACTTTTGTGACGTATAAAACGCATTGCAACACTTACCTTCGAACAAGGCATGGGCGCTTTCGCTTTGCGGTGCGCGTTCGTGGCAATCGTTCTTCTCCAGGTAGCCATTCGTAAGTCGCATTTGACATGGTCGTTCCTTGTGGTGATGTTGTAAAGGTGACCAATTTGGTCGAATGAAGTGAGAGAGATTGACACAATCTTTCAGTTGACAAGCAATTTGAGCGAACGCTCGTCGTGCGTTGCTGTAAGGCTGTTGCACTGGGCTAGCGTTAAGGAAACAGGAGGCAGAATCTCAAGCTTCCATCCATCCAGCCATCCATAGGTCTCATTTGCTTTGACTACCGCAGATCCTCCTGTCCATTCATTGTCTATTGAAAATGTGCCTTTGTTCGCTTTCTCCGCCCCCTCGATTGCATCCATTCGCCTGCCTTGAGCCCCTTTGATCCTTCCTGACCTCTCCAGCAATCCGTCTGCTTACCGAAGCAAAATAAGACCTTGTGTTGCCATCTTGGAAAAAAAACCTAGTTAGAGATAGTGTTCAATTGTTCTAAGTGTTTGTCCTCTGACTATGCCTAAATGCTGACGTCCTTCTTCCAGTGAGCGGTGATGGCTGCAATTTTTATCGCATCCACTGCGTCGGTGTTGGGGAGTTCTGTCGATTGGTGGATTCCCAATGCTGCGGGAAGTTGATTTGCCAACCGCTGGGACCCCACCGTGATTGCGGCTTGGGGATCTGCATGAATCCATGACTTCAATTGTATCGCCAACTCACCTCCACATTGTGCCTCACTACTTCCTTCCCTTCGCACAGCCGTTCATTCTTCTACCCGGTCATGCAAGCGTTAGACGGCTACAAGTAGGGACCGATGCATCAGCCTTTAAATTTTCTCTTTCGAAGGTTTATCAAGGTGTCGCAGACCTCTGTCCTCTTTACGGTTGTCATATTTTACCTTCCAGATCTATCTGATTATTCCAACTGTCCCTTCTAACTCCACCCTTTCCACTCCTTACTCATTCCTCCTTCCAATCTGGTTCTAAGCCCCTAATTAATCCTCTTTCCCTCTCATTCATTCGGTCCATCTCCTTCTTGCACTGTCCATATCTGTCGACTGAATACCTTTGAAGCTCCCTTTAAACTAGTTAATAAAGGACGTCTTTATCCATTTTTGCTTACCATACGTTAACACTCGTCATTAATCATTCAATCATCGGTTTAACCATTCCCAACGTGTTCATCAAAGGCACCATTCTACCGTCTGTGATGAAGGAAATTCCATCCTTCTTACTCACCTTGGTGACCCAGTGAAGGGGCAGAACTAGCAGTTGGCAGGACATTGGTGCCGTGGCAACCATTTGAAGCGGTGGCCTTAGCGACTCCTTTAGGGCGCAGGTCACTCGCCTCCCCTCCACCACTTGCCTCATTACAATCACACCCGCCTGCTCATTTCACTGACTCGCGCTCTACTGACCTAACAACAGCCTCACGCTCACAAAAATCTCGCTTGATTCTGTGACACGCCAACAAGTTCGAGGATTTTTCTTGCAGAGAGTCTGGTCTCAGGGTTTTGCTCGTCCAATGGTGCGCAATGTGGTGATCAGAACGAATTACCCTGTTCATTTTAATATTCCCCAGAATAGCATCCATGGCATAAGATAAGAGGGGAGGTAATCGACATTCTCTCTCTTCTTCAGGTTGCACGGAGGAGTGTACGAATGAGATCGAGTGCATTGCAAGGAAGAAGGTGTGTTACCTGTACGAATTGCAGTGCTGTCACCCCTCCGTGTGCATCCCTCTGAGGTACGGCGTGAGGAGAGGCACATGTCTGTAAATTTCTCGTATTCTCGGTGAACTCTACGTAATTTTGCGTTCATTTACATTCAACGGTCGGGTGTTCGTCTACAAGCACCATTCGATGCTCAATGGCGTGTAAATGCGCAACACATTTTCCAACCCCGATGCACCTCAGTAGTGCATTCCATTTCGCACTGGTGTAGTGACTTCGTAATGCTTTGTTTGGCTCCCAGTACCGGCTGCAATCTCTTGAATGAGCAGATTGTCTGTGTCGTGCATACTAACCTCCAAGCCATGTCAAAAAGTCCGTTCCTTTTTTTGGTGCAATAAAGGTACTCCATCCGGGCACTATGCCTTCGTTTATCCACGAGGGAGGTGTAAGAGCGCTACAGGCCTAATGATTTGTACCACAGAGTGCTCCAAGAGATCCGATCCAGTGAGACTCGGCTGATTGTACATCCGGTCCAACCTGCTGGGTCGCCACAAAGACAAACCAGTCACCTCTCCTGCCTCCTCTTTACACTGGTACTCTGCGTTCTTTGGTTCCCACGGCCTTATCGGGCACGTAGAGGGGCATCAGTAGCTATGAGGAGACTTAAAGTAGAACTCCTTACATGTACCGAACAGTCGAAAATATCTTATAAAAGGGTGAAGAAAGAAGCAAACACTTGTGCAACCCATTTAAGCAATGCCCTTTAAGATCATATGCAGAATCCTCTTCCGACGTTATCAGTGGTGATACAGCGCAAGGGGAAGCAGCAGTTGTCGACCGTGCAGACCTCATTGTACTGCTGGCAAGTTCTGCTTATCGTACACGCTCTTACAGAGAATCCTAAAAAGGCAAACAATTAATTTGAATAAAATCGATGTAAAATGTTCAACTAAAAAAAAGTAAAATACAGTTTCCCATACTTACTCTCGCCAAGTGGTGGAAGCAGGAGAACAATAAAAATAGTAAACATAAGCGACTGGCACAAATTTCGGTCCGAGCTAGTTGCAAATAAATACGCAATATTGGCAATGCGACCCTCACCGGGAACTGCGTGTGTGCTGGGTGTGAATACACCCCAAGGGCTGATACAATGTTCCAAAGATCTGTTCGATTCACAACTGTTCCACCTTGAACTAACAGAAAGTAACAGAGGCTCAAAGTTGGATTGGGAATTTTATTTGAGTGCAGGAAAAGTGCCAAAAGCTAAACTAACAATACTGAGTTAAAAGTACCATAATAGATGAAAAATTATGAAGGCACATGTAAAACTTTGTTTATGCAATCACCCGAGATTCTGGTGGATTTTGGTAGTATCTGACCCTTGTGTCCGTGAACTGGCCTTAGGACCATGCTAAGATCCGAGTCCTTCTTATCCTCCTACAATTCATGCAATCTGACCAAAGTACCACCTTCTTCTACTACACTTTTTAACGATCTCTGTCCTATTGTTCACCGTTTGTGACATATAGCTTCGGTGCGAAGGAAGTGTACGCACTTCGAGACGGAGGTTATCCACATTGCCACGAAAGGCGGATTGTGAATTATGTCTGCGTTTGGCTCTACCTTGCCTCCGCTCTCTGTAGAAAGCTAACAACTGGGACGGTACCGCCTTGAACTATCTAAATAGATATTGTACCGGAGCTCCCCCTTATTGAATTCGTGTATAAATGTCGAGAATGGCACTGAAGCGTTCCAGGACCTCCCACCGGGTAGAAGAAGACATTAAGTAGACCTGAATACATGCATTCTAGAGAGAATAAAGAAATTAGGGCTGAGCTTGGCCCAAAGGCCAGTCCACGCGCACATGGGCTAGACGAATCCCAAAGCAGCCGCCAAACATTAGGTGGTCCCATCAACAAAGCACTACAGACACTACACCCTCCATTCGGAACTGTGTTCGACCTCGCCTCCCTTGCTTAAGACCAGCGTACCAAAGTCTAGCCCTGAGCTCCACTAATGGTCAACAAAAATTCTCTCTAATATTACTGTCGTTAAAATGAAGTTACCTTTAGGTCCAGTTGAAACTGCTGATCAGATTAAATACAGCCTTTCAATATCATGGTAACTGGCTCGTGAATTTTCCCTTGTACTACCAAATACGCTAGGATTTCCTTAAAGACTTTGCTTAACGTACTACTTTGCTTACGTGATCACATTTTACACGTGGAATGGCCTTTCGGCAAAACTGAGGTTCAATCCCTTCTACTCCACTCAGAGTACACTTATATAGCTAATCAAATTGCCTTTTCTCTCTGGTGAAAAATTTTAGAATGCTACAGCACATAGTATTGCATTCGATTAATTTCTCTGACCGAATAAACTTACTCGTGATTTTCTGGACTAGAGCATTACCATGCTGTTCCTTTTTGAGATAAAATAAAGATGCATATGTGGGTGCAATCAGCGCTTTTAAGCATATATGTTTTAAGGATTATTTAGAAGAAATTAAATGAACGAGTCTCTCAAAGTTTGGCGACTGTGAATAACACTCTTACGCTAAGCCGAAATGACTTTGGCTGAGGAGAGATTGAGAAATAAGGGGACTGGCTTACAAACTAATAATAATGAACAGTCTGACTTGGCCGCTATAGAATTCATTCAAAAGAATGAGAGTACCACTTTTCTGCAGCCAACATTCGCTCCCAAGATGATGCACTTGTCAAAGTTCTTGGAGCCTTTTGATGAAACCTCCTTAACAGATGAGGATGGAGCCCAGAAGTACAGTGTATACGTTGCTGGGTTTCTAAAGGATCAACTCTCTGACCAGTTTGATCGTCACAAGAGTAGTGCATGGTTTGGCAATTCCATTGTTTCATTTCCTTAACTTATAGGTTTCGTGACAAGTATCATCCCGACTACATTGCATCAAGAGAGAAGCAGAGAGCTATACTGTTGGCTCGTTTCAATGTCTTCAAGAAAATGTTTGACGGGGGTCTTTGTAAGGGTATCTCTTTGGAGTACAAAGAAAGAGCATCCATTACGAAGCTCCTTGATCAATGTTGGTCCTCACCCTCTATTTATTGCTTATGCTCTCCTAAATTTTGTTGAGTTGTGCCGCCTTCTTTCCTTTCAGTTGCAATTTTGCTGTCTGGTGGTACCTCCGAAGATCTAGCTGAATTAGATACTTTCGATCCAACTTCTCTGGTGTCAAAAAGTAATAGCGCGGACGCAAAAAAGCAGACATCTCAACCATCTATAAATTCTACATTTCAGCCCTCCAAAAGGCGATCATCAACGCCTGGATCTGGTGAGCATTCACCGAATAAAAAGTCTTCTAAGCGTAGTCGTGTACGTCTTGACAGCGATATGTACCACACTTTTTACGCTTATGTCTTGTAGTTTAATTTCGTATTCCTATCTAGGGTAATCAGAAGAAGAAGAGAAGGGAAGGAGACGGTGACAACGAAGAAAATGATAGCGACTCCAGCACCTCAAGTTCCACCTCCTCTGCTTCCTCCTCTGCTGGCTCATCGCATTCTTCTTCCTCTTCATCTTCTTCATCATCGGCAGCGTCCTCGTCACATTCCGCACGCTCTCGAAGTCACAGCTCCTCTTCTGTTTCCTCCTCCACCTCCTCATCGTCTGGCTCTTCCTTCTCATCTTCGTCCTCGAAGTCAATGTCACCTTCTAGGACAGAAGCTCTGGCAAAACAGGAGGAAACTGACGAAAAGATGGAGTCCAAAGAAGATGAGGGCAATAAGGATGTCAAAATAGAGTTGGATGGAGCTGTTGAGAAAATGGAGGTCGTCGAAGGAACAGAAGAAAAGAAAGTTGAAGCAGAGGAGGCAGACTTAAAAGATGTACCAGCTCGACCTTTGCCACTCCATGTCACTCGTGTTGTCTATCTGCCCTACCTTCCACTCAATGTGCATCGCGCTACAGTTGAAACGGTAAGATGAGTAGTCGGTTTCAATCGTTTCGACGCATTTGTGAAATTTTCAGGAACACAACCGAACGTTTTAAGAAATGGTTTTTTGCAAACTCCAAATCTAAGGCTGATTTTGTATTAACTTTCAAGTGTGGTTGCATAAGGACAAGTTGTATTATAATTTTTTGACCCCCATCATCTGTTTTCTGCAAACCTCTTCTTTTGTACTGATTTTCATTTTTCAAAAGCCATCAAATATCACCATGTACAAGTGGCTAATATTGCTTGGCGAAATTTTATCTGGACCGTATGAGGTGTCTGGCAGTGGATTATCTTTAGGAGTTTTGACATTTAAAGCGTTTCATCCACAGGAGGAAAATGTTGGAAAATATAAGCCGTGTATGCTGACTATCGGTGAGACCCATAGTGTAGTTATATTTTCAGCTTTTAAATAAAATTTTAACAGCTACTTCTTTACCCTTGTTCAAGAATGCGGAACTTAAGGGGAGCTTTCGTTGACCCTCTGGCCGTCCTGCATCATGGTGCTTTAAGTGAAGAGAATTTGTCCACTTAGATATCAAACGTGGAACAACGTCAATTCTACCACACGACTCCCCATAGAGCTTCGCGCCTAATTGGAAAATTTAACGAATCATGTCTTTTTTATAGGGACAGTTTTAAACTTATATTTACCCATACATTCACGCTTTCAAATGACATTTTGCTAAGAATGAAGGAGACACCCCAGTATTAATTAAAAAGAGGGTAATTTTTTTTCTTTAGCTGCTGTCCGAACATCCTGACTTCCTTCGCCTCGCTTGTTATGAGCCCATTCCAATCCCTGTAGCCTCCAATCAATTCCTTAGTGATGGCCCTGTCTCATCACTCGGATCCTCCTCCCTCATCCTTCACCGTCCAGCCTGGATTACCTTCACAGCCGTTCCCACTTCTCCTTCTTCCACTCCGCCCCTCGAATTTATTCGCCTTTTGGTTTCTCGTCTTCGTGCTGATTCGTCTTCTTCAGTTCCCTCCGAGGCAAGCCATCTTGCTGCTGCCTTGTCGGCCGCAAGCGTTCTCCCCGGCCCCTTCAACTTGGATCGTGTCCGTGCATCAACACGCCTTGCTACAACCCTCATGGCTACTGCAAAATCCACCACCTCTCATTTTAACCCCATTTCAAGCAAATCCGTAATGCGTCGCCATCTTGTGATGGCTGCTAGATTGGTAGGACGTCTGGACGAGGTTTGGGCGCCATGGCAACCCATCGAAGGGCAGCCTGATTGGTCTATCCCAAGGCCGTCGGAGCTGGACCCGCGATGGGGCAGCTTGATTGGTGCTGCGAGCGCACTGGTTGATTTGGCTGCAAGCACAGGAAATCCGTTGTTGGAAAATCTTACCGACTATCTAGTGGATGAAAGTAATCCTGAAGAGGAGGTAATGATGTTGTCCGCAAGGGAGGGTAGGAATTCCACCAAAGAAGAAGAAGAGGAAGGTGACAGTGAACTGGCGGCAGCATTGGATCAGCTCTTGCTCTATCTCCGTCTCGTCTATTCTGTGGACTTTTATGCTCCGGCTCTGTACCCGAGAGAGAGTGATATGCCTCACCCTTGTGGTATTTTGCATGTTCGACCCTCGAAACTGCCTGCAACGATGACGGCACCGACCTTGCTGAGATTAATGCCGTCGCCGCCAGCACCAGTCTTCGGTAAAGAGGCTTCGGGACGTTCTGCTCATAAGGTGAGATGGATAAAAGTTTTTTTCAGTTCTGTGTGACATCGAAGCATTTAGCGTGAGCTGGTAGCGTTAACGTTGAATTATCTGAAATTTTATCACTTAAATCGCCAAGTAATCAAGTAGTGCCTTTTTCTGGAATCCTAGATCTTTGCTCGTCAGATCAGTCGTATCTTTCGGTTCATCACCCCATTATCGGTGGGGACAATCGCGAAGCTCCGAGAAAACGAGCAAAAGGATGATTACCTTTCTACTCCGTCTGCAACGAATTTAGCTGAGAACTCTGAACAGCAGCAACCATCAGAAACACGTGAAATGGACACCAACGAGCGCCGACTGCGACTCCTCGGTTATCGCGATACAGCCGAGGTTGTGGAAGCCTTCATCAAGGCCAATACAAAACGAAAGAAGCGAAAAGTGTGCGTCGGACTTCTTTATTGTTTTTGATAATTCAAAATTTCACCCTTTTAGTGACGTTATCTGGGTGTGTCCGTTGTCTGACAAGAAATTCCGTGGTCCAGGATTCGTCCGAAAACACATTTTGAACAAGCACGCGGAGAAGGTGGAGGAAGCAAAGAAGGAGAACGTTAGTAATATTTTTTAATTTTTCTTCTTTGTATGTTCTAGTGCTTGATTTATCAACTCATTTTTAGATGCCTCTGTTTTGTTTGTTTTCTTTTGAGTAATGCGGGAATCTGATCGTAGGCTGGTTCTCATGACTGACTCAAACCTAGGCTTGAGTCTTTAGCGGTTTCTCAGGCGTTCCCACTAATACGCCTCTGGGGCGAATGAGGTTGAGAGAGAAACTGATAGTGTAATTCATTATAGACGTCTAATCGTTTACAACTCATTGACCGGAGTGTGAATAGTTCTCTTTTTTCTTCCACAGGCTTACTTCTTCAACAACTTCCTTTTGGATCCACTGCGGCCGGAGTTGATGCGTCCGCCTCGAAGACGTCTTCCGGTTCGCAAAAGGAGTATGGGTTTCACTGCTGCTGGTCCCTCTTCTGTGTCGTCTGGCGCTGAAGATGATGTTGGAGGAGGAGACGTTCCACGAGGTCGTCAACAGACTTCAGGCGGCGGTCGTGATGACCTACCACCACCATCACATTCTACGCGCTATTGGCATTCACGTAGCAATGGATTTGGTCGCTCCTACAATCGTGGTATTTCTAGTGGAGCTAATCAACGTCGCTATGGCCGACCAAATCCGTGGACCGCGGAGCAACGGTGGGGTGGTGGTGGAGGCAGCTACCACAGGTGGGTTTCCTCCTCCTTCCCTTCCTCATGCGTTAGGAATTGTTGCATTCTGCATAAACTCTTGTCTCGGGTTTTTTAGGCATGAGAGCAACCGGAGCAACGGTTATCGGGATTTGGATGCATTATATTGAATTTTATTATTCCATGTGTGAGTTGTTACTGCGTAAGCGATAACAAGGTCCATTCGTGTTCCATTGGTGTACTCCTCTGGAGTAGGCAAGTAGTGTTACCATTATAGTAGTAATTAGGTGATTGATGTGACAATACTTGAGGTTGACAAACAGAAGTTAAGGCATCTACAGGTTTGACGTTTCAAGAATTTTTCTGAATGACAGCTCAAACGGGTTTTTGGCTTACTCGCAATTTGAATAAGCAATTGCTAAATAGTGTATGGAATGGTGTGACGAGGTCCCAAAACGTGCAAAGCGATGTCTTCAAGTGCATGGCAGTAGGTTTCGTCCTCAGACGCTACTACCCTTTTTGTTTTAACTTTTTTTGCTTGGCAATCTATCGCGTCAAATTAGGGATTTGGATAGCTGTTAAAATGCGATGCGGCAGTTTGAGCAACTTATTCTCCACCCACAACCCAACCCGCAACTTTTGTCCTTGCGCTGAATTTGTCTGGCAATGTCACCGACACAGCTTCTCGAATCGTTTGAGGTGCAGGATGCTTTATAGATTGGTGGCCGCGATGGACTCGCCTTGACATTTAAGGCGTTAGAAGGGGTCTCGCTACCACGAGACGATCTCAGCTTAGTCAATTGCAAGGAGAATGGAGGAAAGATTGGTATGAAACATTTCGGTGGCTAATCAAGTTTATTGTCATCAATTTAGCATTCCCACATGCCGTTATGTACAGGGTGGACAGGCAGGTAGGCGCGCTGTCAAAAGCATAGGCAGTTGGGCAGGGAAGGTATTTGGAACAGAGGAAAGGGAATGGAGACTTCAGAGTCGTTTTAATTAAGGGAGGAGGAGGAGGAGGAGGAGGCAAAATTGTTCCTTATTGCCGCCTTTGTGAATGCTAAGGGAGGAACCACGAACGAGAGGGGGTGGAGAGGGGTAGAAGGACAGAATTCCAGTTTTCACCTAGTTGAGCATTTTATTACGAAGCTAGAAGTCTGCGAATTCTGCCTCATAGAGCATTTTGGGTATGGTTGTGCTGAGGTCCGCGGTCTCCTCCTCTGGATAGTCATCAAAGTTTGAAGCATCTGCGTCATCTTTCACGTGAGGCACGTAAGGCGGTTTCACCTCGAAATAAGAAGGAAATTAATTCAGAGTTCTGGGTTTTGTGGGTCTGGGTGATCCTATAGAAGCTTGACACACCAATTGTTCAAATTCGCAAGGGACTAAGCGTCTCCTATGCTCTTATGGTAAGTAATGCGTGAAGCAGAGTTAAGGTGAACGGTGGGTGTCAACATCGTGGACTCAACGGTCACGTTGACGTAGACGAGAATCTTCTTCAGTTAGAAATTGCAAACAGTGAACTCTTACTTTTTGGTCCAAAATGTCAACCCAATCAATGTTCGCGAACCAGACGTGACTTTGAATGTCTGCTACACCGTTCCTCATGTTGCCATAGCGCTTTGTTGTGTCACCTTGAAGCAGGTTGCTGAGCAAAGCTCGGGCGTCCGTACTCATGAAAAAGGGGAATCGGACCTGGTTTTTTAACAGGAGTAAAAGCGTAGAAACAGTTTGATACTTCTAGATAATTTGACTCTTGATAGGGAATCAGTGTGGGGTGCTTTGGCTACTGACAAAATTAAGTAGGATGGATAAAAGTTGGGCACCTATTTTAATGTTACAAAATTGGCCTTTAGTGGATTTATAGGAGCAGAACTTTTTCACTCTAAGGGCGTAAACAAACCTTTCCAGCAACAATCTTCTCGTAAACCTGTAAGGCCTGATCAGCAAAGAATGGTGGGTAGCCAGCAATCATTTCGAAAATTAAAACGCCAACGGCCCACCAATCAACGGCCCGGCTGTAGCCCTGGAGAAAAGAGAGTGCAAGCAATAAAGTGCTGAATTCTCTGTTCGGCTCATGCAAGGCAATTTCAGTCGCCACATAGGCAAATTTAAGGCTTGATTATATAACCTCTTACTCAATTCTGACGAGATAGCATGTATCATGGAAATCATATTCGTGGTAAAAGCTGAGGCAAGACTTACTTTACTGAGGATGATTTCGGGGGCAAGATATTCCGGAGTTCCACAGAGGGTCCAGGTCCTGCCTTTAACGACTTTTGCGAATCCAAAGTCAGTTAGCTATTCGAATTGCGATGAAGAATGTGTTGAACTCGTTGGATTTACACTTTGCCCATTTTAATAAAGTTTAACCAAAGGCAACTAATCTTCTACTTTTCATCATTTCAAGGATGGCTTACTCATTGGTAAATAAGAACTCAAATTTTATTAAGCATTTGAAAGTACGTTTTATCACGTGTGGTAAAAGTTCCTATCTCTTCTGTGCTAAAAAAGGGCAAATGCTGCATTTGGATTCGTAACTTTCTTCCACTTAAGCTTGGACTTTTGGAAAAAGTGCGAAGGCCTTCGACTTAAGCAAACAGTTGGTTTGTTAAAATGAAGGTAGGCCTTTTGAAAGCCCATAGCTGGAGGCTTGGCATTTAAGGAAGGAGTAACCGAGTTGTCTAATCAGACGTAACAAAGCAACCTCTTTGAAACATTTGAAAATGGTCAACGGCTTAAAATTTCCCCACTTTATCAGAGAAATGAAATGGATCCATAACAGTAGAAGCCAACATCTTGTAGTAAATCAAGAAACTGCGTGGAATCCTGCATACGTGAAAAGGGAACTAATGCTTTCGTCGGTTGAACATTAAGTTCCACAGAGATTATTATTTATGAAAGAGACTCATTAAGGTTAAGCACCACTGTTGATATTTGTGTTCACAAAGCCTTTCTTTGGGGGACGAAGTTTAACTCTTCACTACGCGAATAAAAGTGAATATTTTATTTGTTTGTTTATTTCTAGAATGCTTTTAGCACTATTCGTTTCTCCTCATAATTTAAATTTCTGTAACGAGATTTAGAGAAATTCAGATTTTTCCAGAATAACTATAATGCGTACATTTTGCCACTGCTTCTGTTTTGTTTAAGTTTAATTTTTTGATATGCTGATACTTTATGTGAATCCTTAACCTTGATGATGGTGAATGAACTGTTTAGGTGTGTAAAGGTGACGGTTCAAAGATCGCGGCTCACTTTGAGGTACCCATGTTTATCGATGAGCAGGTTTTCGGGCTTCAAATCTCTGTAGGCGATGTCCATGGAATGCAGATATTGTAGCGCAAGCACGACCTGAGCTCCGTAGAACCTCGCTGTATCCTCTCTGAAGCGCCGCCAGCAAAATCAGGATACATTTAAAACAATAATTCAAAACTAACAAAAGTAAATTGTCTAGATACGTCAAGCATGCAGGGTTGATGCATTGGAATTACCAAATTAATACATGCTTTTGACACGTGGATGGGATGTTTACATTCGCAAAGTCTAATGAGATGGTCAGTCAAGCGAATCCATTGACATGATTATGTGGCACTGCTATATTATGCTCTACGGATTGACTTCCATAAATCACCTTTTCCAGCAATTGTTTTTATTACTAGGTGTCTATTTTGCATATTCCTAGCCAGTCTTAATGTCAACGCTGCTGTTTTCGGGGAGAGATTGAGAGGCGAAGAGAGGAGGGAAGGATGGAAAAAAGAAACCAAATAAACCAAAGTACATGTGTGCATTTCCGAATATTTCCTCCTCTTCGTAGGAAAGAACGTTGAATTACATGTGCACGTTTGTTGGACTTAAACTCGCGGAGATGGACAGTGCCCGCGAATGCGTAAAACTTACCCTTGGATTAAGTTAACTGGCAAAAGCAAGGAAGGAGGTTTTTCCTTAGTCCTCTCTAAGTCCCCACCTTCAGACTCGTAGATGAGTGAAAAAGACAGAAGTTCGGCTGTGAGCCAGTTTTAACATATGCCGTCTGCATGCCGTCTGCCTGGTGTCCGTCTAAGGTTTCACTGAAGTACACGTAGTGTGTGCAAAACGGTGCAGCACACACGGCGTGATGGACGATTTATGGTGTTAGAGATAAGGTGGGCTGTGCTGTAACTAAAAGCTGTCGCGGATAAACAATTGTCCACGCAGCACAGAAGTCACGAACGCTGGGTTGATGAATGCCACACGGTCACGTGCCGTGGGCTGCCTACTGGTCCTACCGGCGGTCACCACCGGCGTGATTTACTTCCATTGTTCTCCTAAGCCTTACTGTCTATCAGTTATTATGTGCAAGTAATCTTGGCTTATTTAATGGCAGAGGGGCAGGCTAAATAAATTCCGCATCCATAAAAAAATGGGGTCATACAGGAGGTAACACAATGAGAGGGTGGCACGATGACTACGGCAAATAAGGAGACAGGTTGAATGCCAAACCCGTCTGCGTGCTCAATCAGGGCTTTGAGTGATCTAGGGAAGGGAATGACAAATGATGCTAGGTGTGGTGAAATTTCTCCGCCCAGTTTTAGTTGCTGAAATGACCTCTTCTAAATGACTTTACCTCTGTTTAACGAGGTCTCTCGAAAAGTAGTCACAACCGAATGAAGTCTTCCGCCTAAAGATTGGACGCAGAAACACGCAATTGCATAGTACGTATACGCTGCAACTACTCTACCTCACATGGTCTTGCCCCGCAGGCATTACTTTTCCCTACTCTAACCATTTACTAAAATGACATCGAGCAAGGAAATCAAAGCATTTCTACTATCCTTCTATGCGGTCTTAAATGGCTGTAAGGAGTTTAATGCTCTTATTAAGTAAGCAAGTTGACGCCTTACCACCGTCCACGCACAGATGTGAGGAGTGACGAGTGACACACTCACCTAAATTTGCCTTCTTTTCTAATGAGGGAGAATAATTCACCACCGTTGATGAATTCAAGAGCCATGTAGAGGTTTGAATGGTCCTAAAACAACAAAAAAAATGCGAGTGAGGCTAAGGGAGGAAGAAAGTGAAGAGGAAGGCGATTTTCAACATCTGCATCATTGCTCACCTTGAAGTACGTTTTGAGGGCGACAATGAAGGGGAAGTTGATGCAGGATAAAATTTTTTTTTCATTTAAAGTGTGCTCCACCTGCTTTAGCTTTACAATCTACAAAATGGCAGGCAAAGAAAGGGGAATGAAAGAGATGCCTGGAAAGGCTTTTAAAGCTGAACAGATGTTCTTTAAATCATCGCCAGTGGGACTCTTTTCGAGTATCCTAGGAATGACTTTGTTGCCTCGAAGAGCGCCTACACGATGTGGAAGCGGGTAATCACTAAGACCTTCATGTATCCCCTCACCTGTTCCCATTTCCGCCCCGTCGGACACAGCCACCCAGCATCAGGCTTGTGGACCTCCGCTTTGAACTACTGGCATGCTTGTTCGGTGCCCGCCTTTCGATAATAACAAGGACGAGCTCTTTGATGTCTACAGCTATTTAGTGTGTGACTGCCAACTTTTAACCATAAACACGCACAGATGCACAAAGGAAGGAGGCGAGGGGTCGAGGTAAGGAAATTGATCGAACGATTTACCTTCGCTTTCTGGAGAATTTTAATGGCGTAATGTCGTCTGTTGTGTTTGTGTTGAGCTAAGCAGACGCGACCAAAGGAGCCTGTTCCAACGGTTTTAATGCATGTGAAGTCGGACAGTTGACTTGTGTGCTGTATGAGGCAGAGAAAAACGAGTTAGTCGTCACAGTCCAGTATTCCACGCCCTCCTAAGCGCTGCGGTGTGGCTCAGATGTGATCACAAATTATAGAAAAAAGGGAGGCAGATTGATGAACAAATCAAAAGAAAAGATCACTGGCGGTAGCTTGGCTGGATGGATGGTAGGGAAGCGGCAAACGACTAGCAAACGAATGCTTCGGTGAGTTGACGCTTAAATAGTGCGAATAAAATGGAAAAGCAGGTGACAGGTGAATGTGTAGAAATGACAATCAGCAGATAGAGAGAATGTCGACTCAAAAAACTGGGTAAGCAAAAAGTCTCAACAGACTTTCTCTTCAATCTTGTTCCCCAATGACAGAAGCAGTGCAATAATGAAGGCGGCAATTTGTTGCGAAGTATTAAGTGGGGCAGACTGCATGGCGGAGGCGTTGTGGAGTCGTGCGTGTGGCAGATGGCGCACAGTTTGGCAATAAAATGACATCAGCTCGTTAATTAAAGTCGAGGTAGACAGCACTCTTAGCGGTGTCGCATGCGTCGGCATAGAGCAGACCATCTACTCTGGCACTGAGGCATCCCTCCTTAGCGTCTTTATAAGACTCTACAGTGCATATCAGTCTCTACTCAAATCGCTCTCGTGTTACCCAACCAATTTCTCACATTTGGCATCGTCGCTGAATTGAGAGTCACTGCCTTCAGAGGAGAAGAGAAGTATAGAAAAAGTATGAGATGGTAGGAATAAGAATGAGGAAAAAGATCGCTTTTAAGTGTGCCTAAAGCCCGTTCGATTGTCATCACATGTCACTCCGCGGCGATCCAATCGTTTGTTTAACTCGTTGTTTTGGTTATGCGGACACCAAAGGCGCTGCGGATAGCACTTCTTTGAGGAGGGGTTTGGTCTCTAATCCGTCCTAGCAGTCCTCTCTTATATGGTTTCTGGAAAGGCTTGGGAGCCACATAAAAACGCTATCAGCGTGGAGGGCACAACTGCATGTTTGGGAGAGCCGAAGGAGAGACACTGGAAGGGATTCAAGAGACGTGACGCGAATTGGAAGCAAAAAGAGAGATTAGAGGCCGTCGACCACACTAAAAGTTGTCCTCATGTCAGAAGTTGGGGCGTCAACCGTCCGACGTCCGCCCCTTGACAGCAAAAGTCCCCAAAAACTGATTGTAGGCAGATGGAGGAGGAAAGGAAACATTTCCTCTGAATTTAAAGTATGCACAGACTAAACTTTGTGGCGTAAACCATCCCAATAATGCCAACGCAGCAGCAACTTCCAAAATTTAGAGCAAATGTGGTGACAACTTGGCAAAAACGGCTTTAGTTTAAAAGAAAAAAATTTTTTTTTCAACACCATCCTCTCGACGGAGGAGGAGGGGCGACCAAAATCAGGCAGACATCGCGGTGCAAACAAAAGGAGGGCCGCAAACAAAGAGGACGATTGACACAAAACCTACTTTGGACATTTCGCCACCTCCCATTTCTGCTGCCTGGTTTGCAGTACAAAAGGAAAAGATTTTATCAAAGCCCTTTTGATGTGGATTTGGCCACAATGAAAATTGTTTTGATTTTAAAATTGTGTAAGAAGTGTGAAAAAAACAGTCAATCTTTTACATTTGTTGCAATAACTATGCAAGAATACATATAAAAATGTGACTTTTTTTCCTTCCTGAGAAATTTGTTAGTCACAAAAAAAGGATTTGGTAGTAAGTAGATTATCAAATTTCGCACCTATACATAAAAAATGCCTCAAAAGCAAAAGTAAAAGGTTAAACAACTAAAAGAAGAAGACGAAAAGCTCGGACGTGGCTTTGACAAGTTCAAGCTTGGAAACTGCTTTCTGAGAGAGTCAAACACAGGACCAAGTCGAGCAGCTTTGCACACTTTCATGGACCTTAGCCAACGTCGTCTTGCGCCCTCAGCGCTACGCATTGCCAGACCGAAAACGACCGCCATGTCGGTGGCGAAGAGGTCGGCAATGCTGGTCAAGTCGGTGGTTTTCAAAGGCGCCTTTGCAGCCGCCACCTGCAATGCCACCGTTGGTTCCACCGCCTGCTCGCCCAACTGGATCAAAACATTCTTCCGTCAATTTAGACATGCGTAGTCGAGTCTTGGTTCTCTCCTTTATCTACTCGCCGTTTCGATTGCACTTTGGCTCCCTTGACAGATTTTTCAGGTGAAAATGCTTAACGTCGTTTCAGGGTTTCAGTTGTGCGCAAAAGGTTGACCATAACCGACTTTATTGCTTTCCTTAGGACCTCAGGTCAGGAAATCCTCTCTATACATTCGTACACGGACCACGAAGTCTCCACTTCGATCCGCATTCATTCCTTTTTCCCCAACCCACCTT